TAAATTTCTGAAACGATTATCTTATACATATTTATTGTAGTACTATTTTAATAACACGTACGGGAGTAGGGTAATTATTTGTGAAGAAGGGAGACAATACATACGTACCAGTTTTGTGGCACAACTATTTAACATTGTTATATTATATCAAATTGACGGTATAGGGAATTAGGGATTACTCGTTGAGATGGCAGACGAAGGTGAGGCTATGAGTCCTGGTAAGCGTGCATTGTGTGTGGTTTTGTCAATAATAGCTGTGATCGGCGGATTCACCCTTATAGTTTTTGTAATCGATTTTCTATTTTCCCTCTGAATTCATCATTCTAAATAGCTGTGGTTTGATGTTTTGGTGACAATGATTATTTATTTCAATAAATAATGGTTATCTCTTCTTCTATTTCTTTTTTCATCATCGTCCTACATTCATGTATGTTTGGATTTGTCCGTGTACTTTTTGTTTACTGTTTTGTGTTTCAATTTCGTAGAAAAAGTTTATATGAATTTATCCATCCGACAATTCAGACAACAAATCTCCCACGATCCAACCGCGACCTAATTTTCTCCAAGTCCTTTTGTTTTTTTCCCAAAAAAAAAAATGTATACTTTTTTCTTCAAGTAGCTACATCGAAGACTATTTTGATTAAAGGCGTTGAGGAGGTGATGATTAATTAAGCTCGAAAACAAATTAGAAAATGAACGATTGCGTTATTGCTTAGAGTATAAATATGATAACACGATAAGGAATTACTAATAATTGAATATATTGTCAAACCAGAGCCAGTTATAATCCTAGCTATATTGGTCTACCGAATATGTCCAAACATAAGAAGCACAACATCTTTGATTAAAAAAAAAAAAGAAGAAGAAGGAAGCACAAGATCTTGTTTTTATTCAAATCAGATGTATGTAAAATTGTAAATAGCCTGGAGAGTATATCAATATCAATCAATCAATCATCGATTTATCTCTACAAAACGGATTCGATCTGATCATGTGTGAGGGATCCTATTATTATACACGGAGTCCTTTCGGAGAGTGAAAAAAATCTGTTTTTTTTTTTCTTAAATTGGTCCGCGTCTGTAATAATTTAATTTGCAAAAATTAAAAGTTAGATCCAAACGGCAGATGAGTGATAATTTGTGATAATTCACTCTTAAGTAGATGGGGATATGGGATAGTAAATTTGACTCAATAAAAAGAAAATATTGAATTAATAGGCATCTCTCTAGGGTTAGGGTCTTGTTGAGACATATGCCGACCCCGAAGAGTAATCCAAGCCGCCTGTAAGCCTTGGAAATTAGAAAATATTACAAGGGTTTAGCTTACTTTGAGACTATCTCGCAAATGTTTAGCTTACTTTAATTTTATTTTTCTTAAAAAAAAGGAAATCACCCTAATAAACTTAGCGAATCAGGAGTGTGAACACGAAATCATAAAGGAAACTAGCTAAATAAATTAATGATGGTTTAAAAATTAACGCAAAAGACGGAAATAATTAGGCTATATTTAATATAAGTTTAGTACTTTCTATAAAGTTTTACAATCAATTTTAGTTAATTAAGTCTATAAATACCGCTATATGAAATCAAAAAGTAATTATAACAAACATAATTAGGGTTATATCAACCATACCGGAATAGCAACAAAGAAGAGAATTCATTGACACGATGACTTGTTCAATTCATGGAGACGGCGAATCGGGAAAGTTTTCGGCCAAATGCAAATGGTTGTGTATCGTTTTGATTTTGCTCTGTTTAGGTGCTGTAGCTGTAGGGCTTTGGGCTCTTGTCACACGTAAATTTTCTTCATCCCTAACGGTTATTGGTTATATCACATTATCACTTCTTGATTTATCTTACGTTTTTAATTATTAATTTTGTGAATCACAAAGAATACTTCCGGTTCTAAAATAATACTTCCGGGAGTGGTTTTTTTTTTATTAAACTAAAGTACTTTTTGTTTTCTTATTTAATTTGTTTGGTGATTTCAGACCTAAAGTTTCAAGGGCTCAATTAGTTTTGGACATTAAGTTTTGGATGAAGTCGAGAAGTGGCAGAAGAAGAGACATTTGCAGTATGTGACACGATCTCATTGAAGTTTCAGTTTTTGGGAATTAGATGTTGCTATTTAATTATAATAAATATTCTTAGTGAAACATTTTCAGTTTAATTCTTGATTTCTCCCTTTCACGAAGAATTGTGGCCTTCTCTTCTTTTTTTTTTTTTTTTCCCATTGTGATGATCAAACAAGTGCCAAAATAGAATCATAGTAATCGTGGTAATTTAAATTTGTTGAGCCACCTGTTGAAATCATTCTTTTATTTATTTAAACTACAAAACTATAAAAGAATAAAACAATACATAATAATGTAACATATCATAATAAGCATTATTTCTTCCATACCAAAATATCCTAACCAGGCCAATGTCGGGATTTTTCTTCACATGATTGCCGAATTAATTAGTTGATGACTAAATTTTTTCAATCAAGTACTGATTCCAGGATAATTAAGGGAGGGAGGACAAAAAAAAAATATTTCTTCCAGATTTTGCATTTGGTGTATATTTCCTATACGTAGAGCGATTTACTTTTCACTGTAGAGAAATAAAATATGATAAGCAATATGTATTTAAATGATGAATAATTTACGAAGTCTTGCGTCGATCTGATTCGATATATTCATTATTCCAAATAATTGTGGTTGGTATGATTTTACCATGATGGCTGGCTAATATTTTGTGTTGGGGATTTCTCTGGAGGAGAAAACCTGATATGGAGCTCAATAATTAAGATAAGACTCATATGAACTTAAAAGCTCAAGTTAATGGATTCTGAGACCACATTACTTATTAACTGATTCACATGTCTTCATGCCTCCAATGTGAATTCATAATCCTTGTCACATGACTCTCAATATTTTAGGGTTTGGACTTGTCTTTATGATTTTACATATCTGTAAAGTTTTTCGGCCTTTACTATTCATCACAAAATAAAAGCTAAAATCACCGATCGCGTCATTTTCCAGTTTCTATTGTGCTTCCAAAACAAAACAAGACAAAACAATTTGGAATTTACTAAAAATTATACCTCTTTGGAATGATGATTCGTTTAGCTAGATATTAGCGTCGCATGTCCCCCACTAAATTTGATGGGTTGCCTTTGGACTCTTACGCCAGATTCTTAAGATCTAATTAAATCTGGCAGCAAAATAAAATTGGATGGTGCAAACTGATTGTACTCTTGTTCTCAACAGTAAAAGCATAAAGCCAGAAAAAGCAAACTCAGAGAAAAGCAAGCATTTGCATGTTATTTTAAAAAAATAAATAAATTTGTTGTTTTAGCCTAGACTTTAAACTACTTTAGTGAAATTTTTTGCTTTAAAATCATCTTTTTTTAAAAAAAAATAAAAATTCCAAAATCTCCCCATTACGTAATTTTATAGGCAAATGACACCTGTAAGGACTAGCTTTTTGAAATTTTTATGTTCTTTTTTATGACTTTATTTAGGGTAGTGATATTGCTAGGTAATAATTTGATTCTGGATATCCAAAATGCAAAATTTCTAGCTCTTTTTTCTCCGTTGTTGTTGGTAGGATGACTCTGTACAAACTTCTAATAACTATATAACCCCCTATCATAAAAATTTCTTGCAATTTTACAGACTATAATACTTTTTATTATGTTACAGACACCATAATTTCATAAAAAAAAAACTAATGTAAGTTAATCAAATTTATTGTGCGGGACAAGTTAAGCTTCATTGAGACATTAGTCATTTGTTTTCAGTTTTAACCTCTCTCATTCCTCCAGATGGTAAAGCAGAACAAAGGCTCCACATAAAAATCCCAGGAAAAATAGGCTTTCTCATAAAAGTTGTAGCAAATTCCACCAATTCCTTTTAATTCCATTCGCTCAGTACAAAATCTATCAAAATCTATGAAGATGGGAGTTATGAACACCATCAAATTAACTTCAAAATCACCAACCTAATTTTCATAAAAGCCCTCTTCTTTTATTGAAATAAATCCCCATTCCTCTGTTTTCTTTTTTCCCCTATCCCTCGTAAAGCCATAAAATCCCTTCACCTTCTGGGTGTCTTTCATTTTCTTCAATGGCAAAGTTATAAATTTATTCAATTTTTCTAATTAATATAAACAGAAGAATTCAAATCTTCAATAGAACAAAATTGTCTGCCCTTGATACAAAGGTCAAAGATTGGATTTTCGAGTTGAAAGTTAGGACTCAGGATTAAGAGGATGGAGAATATGAATAATGATAGTGTTGCTGGTTTATCATGTAGTGAAGACTAACCAAATTGTTGATAGAGGACGAAGATAATAACTTGCAAAGAGTTTAAGTTGGGGGCAAAAGAGATGAAAGAAGATCATGTTTAACTGTTTAAGAATATTTTAGGAAATTATGACAATTTTTGTTCTGGAGACTAATAATAGCCTTGACAATATCACAAGCTCTTTATTTATCCACTTAATTCTTGCTTTTTGTCCACATGGGGTGACCAGATTTTCCATCTTCTTCTCGCTAATTTTACACGTAAACATGGAATAATTAAAAGCACCCCTTTCCGTTTTAGTGGATAAATATATGAGTTGTAAGTTTGAAGAATAACGCCACAAAGGGGACCATCCAAATTTCTCATCCTCCTAAATTTTTTTTAATTTTTTTTTATTTTTCACGGAATACTACTCAGTAACAGAGATAGTGAAATTATTCAGTTAAATGATTGCAAATGTATGAGAAGATAAATGACTTAAGTTGTACTTTCACATTTCAAAGAATAAACTTAGCTTCTCTCTCTGTTCTAAAATTATTGTCTAGTTCAGATTTTTACTTTTAGTTTAATTTGTACTAAAAATAAAAATCGAAACTGAACAATAATTTCGAGATGGATGGAGTAGTTTGTATTTTGAGGAGTAACTATGTATTACGGGTATTTAATAATTTCATTGTCCCAATTGTTACTTTTTTATACAGGATTTCGAGGAACTTTTTCTCTGCAATGCCACTATATAGTTGGACCATGTGGGCAAATGAGAAATCAAGAAGCAGCAAGGATTATCCACTTACTAATTAACCTTGGGTTCTTTTTTGCACCTGCGGATTGAGTTTTCTTCCTGTGAGGGCTGAGAACAAAAGTCATGTGGAGAAAGAAGAGAAAGAAGTTCATGGAAGATGTTGGTGACAGAAACGTCGACGTCTTTATAGATTCATGATGTGAAAAACAACATTGCCCTTTAGATCATCTGATGAAGAAGCTAGGATGAGGTAAAGGGTAATTCAAAAAGGCAAGTCATTGAGGCAAAGGGAAGGCTACGCCTTTCTTCCAAGTTTTTTTTTTTTTTTTTTTTCTTCCTTATATTTCTACTCTCTACGTGAGAGTAGTTCTTAGTTCGCGCTTGAATTTTCATCAATGTACTCGATTAAGTTCAGTTAATTGATCAGTTATTCATGATCTTCCTATCTCATCAAGAATTTTTTAATAAATTTTTTCTTATTTAGCTGTCTTGTATTGCTTGTTATGTTACAAGCATAAATCATCTATGCATATAGTTGCAATTTTGCGTGACTTGAACTGAGTTAATTAATTGAAAAACTCAATCAAGTCGTGTTATATATATCTGGTATCGCAGAGTTACACTTAGCAGTTATTTTGAAACGGGTGAAATGATAAGCTTTAGGCAAGTCATTGAGGCAAAGGAAAGGCTACATCTTTCTTTGGACCATAAGTTACAATTTGAGATTCTGAAGAACAAGATTGAAATTGGAAAAAACAAAACACGTTATGATCGGATGATAAAAACACGAGAGAGAACGAAGAGTTACATATCCTTGATTTTCTCCATAAAGATTTTTTTTTTCTTTTTTCTTTTTACTAACATGTCCTCCTTAATGATAATGTATAAATGGGTTTGTTTTCATCTCCCATTTTCTACCATCTTACTCTTAGAGAAGGCAATTGAAAGCTCCTTTATGAGAACTGGTATCACTAGTGAAGCTCTGTTATAGCCTGAATTCTCTCCGTTACGGTCACGCTTCTTGCTAGCGACATTCAGTTTTGCCATTTCCTCGAATACTTTTGTTGTTTAGATGACACAAATATAAACTAAATTTAATCTTCCATTTGTCAAGAATATAGAACAGGCTGTAGGGAGCTCAAATCCAACTTTGAAAACACTATCTGTTGTAACAAAAATGGTAAGGTTTCCACCTTCAGTTTTCATTTTTTGCATTATAATTCTTGCTCACAGTATACAAGAACATCCTAAACTCAATAGACATCACCTCGAATTTTTCATACTAGTTCTCGCTTCCGGGAATAATAAGTTAGTCAGTCAATCCTAGAGATAGCTTTTACTGCATACCCGTTAACTAATCCCCAGGCAAATCAATGTCTAAATGTATCACACCACCATTTTATAGCTTCAAGTGGGATTTAAAATATTTATTCATCTTCATTGGCAGTAGATGTGCAACAAAATAGCAGCACATGCAGCGCCCTAGTCCAGATCCAAACTCTTCTTCATGGTTTCGTAAACCAAGTACGTAATGCTTGCTGCAGGCACAACTTTAAGAAGATTCGGGAAAAGTCCTTTGTAGAATGCCGTAAAACCCTCAACTTTTAGCGTTTTCCGAATTACATCACCCATTCCATTATAAGAAGGATCAGCTTGCATTCTGGAAAAGAACTTAAAAGCCTCAGAATTACAGAACTCATAAAAACTTGAAACAAAAATATCAAATGAAATGAAATAGGCTCGAAAATTGGGACCAAAAATGACACGTTACCTTGTTCTGATAACTTGCAATGGATACACGCAGGTTGCTCCAAGGGCGCCCGAAACTGTACCGCAACTCAGTTGCACAAGAGGTCCAGGGTCTGCAGTAGTTTCAAATATCCGAGAAATGAGATACAGAGGAATAAGTAAAACATCGAAATCACATAATAACTCAAACACATTGGCTGCAGTTTAAATTCCTAGTTCCTACCACCAGAAATTGCAGCGCCAAGTACTGAAACTTCAAACAGCACACGGAAAGATGGAGCAACATTTTACAACAGTGGGACAGGAACAATAAGCCAATTTATTAAAATGGAAACATAAATCCCTTACCATTGTCATGAAAATAGGTCTTGGACCACTCCTTTAAGGTCTCGTAGGCAGCCAAGTCTATGCCAGCATAAGGGATAATACCTAGAAGAGATGGTACCAGACCTCTATAAAAAGTCCGAGGTCCCTCTTGAACCCATATATCTCTTGACAATTTTCCTAAACTTGGAACCTTCCCACTTTCACCAGCAAAAGTTTGCAACCGAGTCTTCACAAGATCCATGGGATAAATAGCTGTTTGTGCAACAGCACCAGCCACACCACCAGCCATAAGGCGACCGGAAGTCCCTATATCACCATGGCCGTCCCCTTTATCACCTCCTATAACATTCTTCATCATCTCATAAGTGTAGAATTTGATGGCACTTTCTGGAGCAACCTTTAGTACGTTCAATCCATTGCCCCTAAAGAAACCCTTCAATCGACCTTCATTCCATATTTCCTTAACAGCAGTAGTAATGCAAGCACGCTTAGTCTGCACCTGCAGAATCACCTTAAGGCGATCAAGGGGAGCAGTTGCAGTACGTGAAGCAGCTCCAGCAACTCCACCCGCTATCAAATATTTTGTAGCATGAACATGCTTACTAATGCCTTCAGGAATAACAGCCTGTTCACCAATATCAACGAGATAGACCCTTTCCCAGTAGCGGTAAATGTTTTCAATAGTGGCTTCATGAGGATATAGTAGTAAGAAGTCTCTCCATTCTTCAAATGTTATTATTCCGTTGTTATCCTTATCAACATGCTCCACAAAACTAGCTAGTTCGTCATCATCAATTTCTATACCTAAAGAAAGAAACTGCCAAGGCTTATAAGACGAATAGAGACCATGAAATGAAAGAAAGAAGCACTAACCGCTTCAAGCAAGCATTTGAAATAGTAGTTAAAACTAGAAGAGAAAAAGAACATAACAGCCAGTAAACTAATTACGACGAATTAAAATGTATAAGAATTCGTTGACAATATCAAATGCAACAAAACAACGTTTAGACAAAGCACGAATACTTTCAGAATATGCCAAGGGATTTTCGATTGTTACAAAGAGGAGGAAAACATATCAGATTACTCACAGAGGTGCCAGTCAGTCTTCACCCTCATAAATACATGGACTATTAGTGAAATAGAAATGCTGTATACCCCTAATAATTCAACATGGCAAAGAAAAAATTAACTCATTATGAAAAGGAAACTCCATTTACTTTTACCCTCACAAGAGCATTTAGGTTAAGACTTCAAATTCAGAACCCCATAATGTTGAGTAAAATGTTAGTTAAGCCCCAGGTAACAATCTAGTGATGAATCTTAAGCTCAATGGAAGATGAAACTATCTTGAACACCCATTGTCAGTTTTAGAATGATTTTATACATTATAATTTTAGAATGAAAAGCACAGGTTTCAGGCTCAAATTTGATACATCTTCAAATCTTGCCATTAAATTTCCAATCAATACTTGATCATACTCAAATTGAATCCCTCAAGAAAATCATGATTAATGAGAAATCAAGCACGTTGTCCCTCTCGCATCTCCTATGCCAAGCTACCAGCGACAATTCTTGTATGAATAACAGTTAAGAAATCTCAATACAAAGACCGATGTCCCATAGGACCACAAAGAAATTATAAAAATAATGAAAGGAACGAATGAATTTCTGGCAAACAAGCCAGTGCTTAAAAAGAGAAACAGGCATGCACTCAGGCAAAAGAAATGGCTACTTGAGAAAAGTCCATGTAGGACAACATAAATCCAAAATCCAGATATAAAATCATAGCCAACAGCAAGCAAACATAACAAGCACGAAGATTATAAGGGAACTCATGCAAAAATGGATAGGTAGGGAGCCGTATGAATTAAGACAATGGAGAACTTTGAGGAAGAAAACAATCTAAAACCAGCACAGAAACATGTCACATGAGATTCAAAGGACTTAAACATAAACCAAATGGACAACTGTTTCAGAATTACTATGGCAACCATAAGCCTAGCTTCTCCATTAAAAAATAAAATTTGTTTTCCAAAACATAGAAGCAAATCTTTTAAGCAACATTGAATTAACAAACAGGAATCCTCCATAGAATTTAGAAAGTGAAACAAGTTTTCCACACATCAAATCTAACTGAATGTTGGAGAAGTCAGAAAAGTCTGCCTTATATTTGCATAGCACATGAAAGAGAAGCTATCCACGTGATCATATTATACATTTCTTATCCATACACCCCGTGTTTCCATTAACTGACAGTAGCATAAGACAGGGCACATCCTAAATTCCGTCACAAACTCCACTATGTAGGAGTAGTTCAATTTACGTGGCAGATAACTTTTAGGAGCATGAATTCAGAACTGACTTTATTTTTGCAATTATTCGTTCAAAACTTAGAACCAGTTTAGCTACGTATTACTACCCCAACACCAGCCAGAAGATGCAAAAGATCTCTAGCATGCTCACTATAGATAAGGAAAGAAGATTCGGTCCTAATTGACCCTATGCAGCTGCTGATCACACTAAACCTAGCCAAAAGAACGCATATATATCCTGCAATTATCTACCAACATTAAAGTATCTAACTAATCTAAGCAAGCAGATGCTAAGGAATCCTTGTAATCATAGAAGACCTATATCTGCATCCGAGCATACAATTACAGCCACATTCATAAACCGAAACAAGCTCCACTTCTCCAGACATAAAACCCAAAAGATGGAACAAGAGAAGTACAGTCACAGAATTAAAAGAAATGAAGAATCCCTTTGCATTTTGCCAAGCATTGTCAAAAGACGACAACAAAGTACAAGTAAAATACCAGCCTTGAGAAGGGCATCCAAGAGTTCCTCAGGCAAAATGCAACCGTTGTGCTCTACATCAATAGCTTGAAAAATCCTATACAATTCCAGCTCTTTATCATCCATATACTTCCTAAATTCCTGATAATCCACCCTCCCATCTTTGTTAGCATCACATACATTCAGAAGCTCCTTAGCAAACTTATACTCGGGTGGAATTTGCAAGGCCGAAAGCCCTTTCTCAATTCGAGCATAGTCCAAGTAACCTTCAGCAGATGGATCGAAAAAATTGAACATACTCTTAATCCTCACATCCCTTTCCTCCTTAGTCTCCCTCAAAGCTGCCAACACATGATCCATCGAAATCGGGCCGGGTTTCTTCACCGGGTTGCAGCATTCCGACTTGTCTTTTGCTGCCATTGCAGGAAAATTCACATGCTCTGCAGCTTCCCCCGCCCCAGACATGCGCAAAAAAAATCTGGGTTTTCAATATCACCACATCGGTTGCGAGATTTTCAATACAATTCTAGATCTACACATGGAATCGACAAAGGAAATGGTTTTGTACCAATCAATCAAACAGGGAAACAGGAAAGAGGAATGTATTCGGTGATTAAAAAGGAGTGATGACGAATATTATATGTCCTTATTGCAATAATGAATTGCGTTTGGGGAAAAAAAAAAGCAGAGGAAGAAGAAGAGGTGGTGGAAGAGAGGAATATCTGGCCAGGATCTTGTTGTTCTAGGAAGATCCGTATGGTTGACCCGGTTTGATAAGCTGGAATTCAAGTTCTAACCTCGGGTCAAAGGAGAAGTGAAAGTGTGAAATTGAAAGGAAATGGCCAAAATTTTTTAAAGGAAATATGTAAATGTTAATAAATGTCTCATCCTTCAATAAACTTTTTTATATTACCAATACAAAAAACGTCTAAAAATACACATAAAAAAAACAAAGCAAACATACCCTAAATTGACAAGTAAAGTCAACATGTTTATTACAAAAGGGATTTATCTAATCTTCTTTAAATATTGTCTTTCTTCTTTTTCTCTCCCTATTTTTTTTTTCGCAGAGCTAGGAATTAGAATAATGTATTAGGAAAAATCTTTTAAAAAAGAAAAAAAAATTATTAGGAAAAATCATAATTAAACGGGATAGACTGGTCTGGTCAGTCAAATAATTTTATCAAAGGTGAACTCTACATGTGGTGTTATATCAACTACTTTATCATAAATTCATAATGCATAATTGAAGGTTATTTTTTTAGAAAAATAATAAACAATACTTGTGATTTGTGAGGGTTTCAACTTGTAAGAAAGAGAGAATTGAAGGATTTAAAATCCTTTAAAGGAAGTGAATGGGTTATTTATCATTGGAGATTTGGAGAGATGTACTAAGGGAACGGTAGATAATGTGTGGGTTGGGGACCATTCCCCCAATGTGTGAACTTTGTGATATAAAAATGCACAATATCTAGACATCATTGACGAATAAATATGAAATACTACTATTCACGTTTATTACAAGTGTATTTTGGAATTTTAATTCATTTATAAAGAGTGAGTATGTGGCTGACTGACAAATTAATTGATACTGATGGGCGCTTCGGTTGTGGGGCTTGGAGATGGAAAATGACAAGTGTGAAAATGATTTTCCAAAGAGTGTGGAACCATGGAAATCATAGATTTACCTAAAAAAAAGGTTCAAAATCAACGCTCTTTTGAAAGGTTTTAGCATGTGTTTTTTTATAGAAATTTGAACGATAATATAGAGGAAGTCGAAACGGGTTGAGTTACACATCTACTCTTTAACACTCATATCGTTTTTATGTATGTACAACGTTACTAGAGATATTGACAAAATAAATAAAAAAAATCAAAGTCGGCTATTTCATTACCGGCAATGTCCCAATAAAACACATTGTACAAAGGTGGGATCATCACATCAATAGATTGGCAGCTCCAATTCTTTCTATTTACTAATTTTCCTGAACCCTAGCTGCCAAATTATAAATTGTTTATTAGAAATATATATATAAACAAATTTCATAGTGTTAAATATGTAAAAATAAAAAGGGTTGAAAAGATAATAGAATACCAAAACCTGAATCCAATAAGGCCCAAAAATTATGAAGGCCGACCCATTAAGTTTGATTCAGAGTTCATACAAAAGCCTGGTTTTGGGCAAATGACTGAAATCGCAGATCCACCAGATTGAATCCTCATTTCTAGCCGATGAGGCCAAAAAGTTGCGGAGAATGACGTGTAACCCAGACAAGATTCTATGCAATGCTGATACTCCCAGAATCAGGACGCGTGTCCTTCACCGCCAGCTAGCTCTAAACCTTGGAAGTTGGAAATGGCATTCCCCTGTTTCTTCACCAACTTCCTTTAAACAATGTATAAATGAAACCTTTGGTAGAACCACAATCTTGGAGAATTAAACATACCTTACAAATCAAACATCATCTTCTTATCTTCTGAATCAAACTTCGTTCACAAGTTTTAGACAGAATTCAGGAACTGCAACAATGGCTTTGAGGTCTTCCGTAAGTCTTGCATATACATTTGCATTCTCAGTTTTGAATGTCTTCCAGAGCTTTAATTTCTTCTTTAGTAAAATGCACTTAAGTTTTCTTGCTTGGTTTTTTGATTTCCAGACAAAATTGAGGGCTTTCTTGATTAACCGCTTGATAACTGGGAATTCATCATTCGCAACATCAACTGTCCCAAAAATGAAGCCTCATGCCCAGACTGCAGATGCTCATCATGGTCATGGAAATGAAGCAAGCTTCAAATTTTGGTATCATAATAAAATACTCTTTTTATTTCATATCTTAATTTATTGAGTGGCTATCGTGAAGTGATTTTCATTTTGAAAAAAATTACAGGCCAATAAGGCCAGAGTATGCTCCAGTTTATGTTGCATTGGGGTTAATTGGGATGTCGATAAGTTTTGGGGCACTTACAGTTAGGCATCACATCAAGTGGGCTCCTAATGTCCGTGTGAAGAAATCGAAAAGGGAAACCGTTCCAGAAGTTGTGGAGCCAGAGACTGTGGTTGAAGAAGCCAATAACTTTGTGAACAACTCTTTCTTTAGGAAAGTAGCTCATGTTCAAGACTATGACCGCCAAGATGTTATTCCTGATCCCATTAGAGGAGATGTTTACTCCAGGTAATTAAATACCAAAAAACATTAGAATCAATATTTCTTATAGTAGTGTTCTTGATGTTCAGTTGCTGATAGATGGATTAATTTTATACCGTTTTTGTGGATTTTGGCAGGAAGAATACGGGACGAGTGGAGACATTGAAAGATGTTGGAGTTGAAGTACCGAAAGATCCAAACCCTTATGGCCGAGCAAGTAGGCAGCATTCTTAAATTGACCATTTTCTTTTGTTATGTTTTTGTATGACTCGCATCCGTCTCCTTTTCATTCAAGTTGTTGTGGGATGCTTGAGAAATGTAAATGGTTTTGAGTAGAAAAATCTGCTGTCCTGAAGTTTTAATAAAGGAAAGGACTGTTATTTTCCTATACAAGCAGTTCATACACTCATGTTATTGTGCTATATGGTTTGGTATCCTCTGTTTCTGCATTTTCTTTGAGAAGTAATGAACAGGGCTAGAATCAGAGCAGCTAGAATCGCAATTGCAATCCAAACATAATACGGTGGTCCCGTTTCCTTGTGAAGCTGCATGATCAAATGAATTGATTAAGTTAATGATTCTGAAGTTTACAAGGTTGTGGTTACTAAATCAGTTGGAATGAAATGAATCTTACTTGGTCTGAATTAGGCTTTAAGGAAGAAGTGTCGGCAACCAAGAGGTAGAAGAGTCCCATTACTCCAGTATGCTTTTGAGCATTACTGTAGTTTGATACAAGAGTTAGGATTTCTCCATCGGAGATTTTGACAGTTCCGGGTTGAGGGTAACATGTAGACATTCCCACAATGTAACCGGATTCATTTCCGGCTTCCCCTCCTTGGCCGTAAATTGGCTCCGACGAGCATATAACCCGTCCATCCTTAATAATTCCAGGAGGTAAAAAACGGAAAACCAATTGAAGATGATTACTTTCCAACTTCCTAGGAAACAAGAAACAGAATACTGATAAAAAGATGAAAGGGAGAGAAGCCTTTGCATTACCTCGCCAAAAAGAGTGGAACCAAGTCCTCCTGTGTGTTGATGTGCTACACCATAGATGACCTCGCCGCCGGAAGGTAGACTTATACTGGAATTCTTTGAGTGGATGCAGTCCTCTTGAGCCACAGTTGCAGAGCAGGAATTGATTTGATACTCAACCTATTATGAAATCACTTTCTTTCAGAATTGGGGGCTAATTTTTCCTGAAATTAGGCCATTCAATTATTTTGGGAAACTGGAAATAAACGATAATCACCTGGCAGCTGTGCCCATTTTGTTCATTCCTTGTAGCAGTAACATCCAGTACATAAACTTGCACCGGCAAAATGGAATTGTTCCAAGGAACATACTTCACTGTATATCTTAGGAAAAGGCTTTTTTTCACATTCTGGTATCCTTCTTTGAGTTTGCATCTTGTTCCATCACGGCAGCAATTCATTCCTCCAAGGTAATGAGGATCCAAAACCTTACCATTTTCGTCTTTCGTGACATTGTAGAGTTCACATCTGCATTCTGTGCAGCCCAGTTTATTTTCTGCATTCCTTGTATCAATAGCATGCAAATCAAACATCCATCCCTCTTCATATCCTGCTGGAATTTCAGCTGGATTGCCAACTTCTATGCCATATGGATCAGGCACAAGGGTGGCTGTTTTTCTCGTTTCTGATCCGAGCCCGAAGTACTGTGGAAGATGATCACCGCAGATACCATTGTTCTTAACTACAATGTAATCTTCATCATCAGATTCCTGTTTGTTGGAGTTATTAAGCCCTTTTGGTTGGTAATATCTCATGGCAATCCAGTGGTGGAGATAAGTTTCATGAAGTGGTACAGGATTGCCTGCGTTATCGACCACTTCAGCGTTAAAACTCTTGATGGCAATGTGACCCCTTGGGAAGCTGATATTGTAAAAAATTTTCTCAGCAGCTTCTCCTGGTTCCATCTCAAACTTAGGAGACAAAAAAACTTCAGTTTTTACTCCTTTTCCTTTATCATCTTCTGTACACTCAACTGTAGCCAGCAGCAGCAGGATGATTATAAATGATAGCACACAGAAATCTGAAGAAAGTGCCATTTCCTTCTGCCACAGCAACAACAAAACAAGTTTCTCTGTTACAATCTATACTTTAGAGTTTGGACTATAAGGTAACATTTCTAGGTACTCAACTTCATATTCCTCTAGTGATCCTTTACAGTATCATTCGATTTATATCATCTGATGCATCATCTCATGGGAAGTTCGTCACAGCGTTTAAGGCTTTGTACAGACAATTAGACATCCTTATTTGAGGGTCCTATTACTCTTAACTGTGCATGCAGTTTGCAACCACACTTATCGATGAAGGAAGATGCAACCCAATTAGCTATGCACGTAGCAGAAAGCCAACTAATTGAGCAATTAATGATACCAAAACTGCAGAAAATCTGGAACTTTTGAACAGTGCTTAATGGGATAATCCATAGAAATGAAGTCAAAAGGCCAGAAATTGCACGGATGAATTCCCTTAAGAAGTAAGAATATTTGCAAAAATTATTGGATAGGCATCTTCAAAAGCGATAAAGACACAGAAACTAGATCATCTACATGCGAGATTCCAATGAATACACCAGATTGGAAGACTTTTGCGGCAGTTTTCAGTCAAAAGGATGTACTTACCACTGTAAAGGAGAAAGTTAGCCGTGCAAACGGTGTAGCAAGCAGCAGGCTTGTAGCTAAGACTATTTCACAGACTCCCCTGGCCTTTCAGGAAAAAGCTGGATCGTTAGAGTCTCTTGGTAAATCATCAAAATGAGAGTACCAATCAAACCCTTATAGAGAATCTAGGTTACAAAGAAGTCAGCAGCCTGCTTATGCAAATCCCTGGAAATTGTCTAATCAGTCAAAATAAAATAGTCAGAGGTAACACAGTTTTCTATAGCAGGTGGTAAACTTTAATCATCAGCAAAGATAGCGACCCCCCTATGTTTTTTCCTTTTTCTTTTCCTTTTTCAGATCCTTCCGGGAACCAAGCAAGTTTCCAGCCATCCTAGAAAGGTACAGGATCACTAAATAACTTTGAATACGTATTCAAAGAGTTGAACTTAGGGCATTCACAACAATAGTTTAATTGCTGTTGAATGTATTCAACGGTAAAAAAAAAAAACCTCCACTGTAGATTGTGTAATTTTGTGAGGTGGTTGAAATATTTCAACCTGTTGAATCTGACTAAAAGTGGGACATGCGGAGTCCATCTCATAGGCAGCCTCTGGCCAGCCCATTTCTTTTTTTTTTTCAATTTTTTTCTCGGTGGGATCCATGAATGGTTAGTCACGGGACGCATACTTTCTTTTCTTTTTTTTTTTGCCCTATTTCGTTTTTTTTTTGTTTGTAAATTCTTTTTTTTAAAAAAAAAAAGCTGTTGCGAAGAATTTAACCCATTTCCTATCTTTATTTTTTTTTTATTTTTTTCCTTTAAAAATCTGCCTGTTTTTTTGTCCTTCGCGTTATCAAGGTTCAATGCCTAACATTCAACAACATTCAAAGGACTGCGGGAATACGCGCGAAGAACATCATCAACTACGTTCAGATTTGGTTGAGCACATTTATGAACGTTTTGGAAATGATTTTGATGAAATGTAATATTGTTAAATTATTTTTAAATATTTTTAAATTTCCGATAATGTAATTTAATGTTGTACTTTATTAATTTACTTTTTAGTCCATTATAATTAATCTTTTTATATTCTTATGTTATTTAATTATATTTTTATATTTTATAAAAAATAATATAATTATACAACGTACTTTAAAATTCATATATAAATGTTATTATTTTTTGTATATAGAAAATATAATTATGAAAACTAAATGTAATTACTATTAAAAATAAATGTAACTATTTTTAAAAATAATGAAGTATTAATAGTAGGATAGATGTTGGATAATAATAATGGGGTAATTGTGGGTCATAAATTATATGAGTAGTGAGTGTAAAATTATTGTAAGAAAAAGTGTGTAAAATGAGAGTGTAGAGAAATGTTGAGGTAGCAGTGTAAAGTTGGGTTAAATTGTAGTTGTTGTTGGGATGCTCTTACAAGTAATTGTTTATCTGGTATAGTTGCTTCTTGGAAAATGGTAGACAACTTATTAGTCATAAACAATAGTTAAAGTCAAATCATAACGGTAATGGAGATTGCTTCGCTCCTAAGAAGAAGAAGAATTTACCCATATATTTGCAGATGTCAGACAGTGATACACTCTGCATGTAATCTACACTAATTATACGCCTGCCTTATTTTTATAACCCGTGAAATGAAAGCTACGTTTACGTAATTTATGCTTTATAAATATGACCAAAAGCAGTATCACATAAACAACGAGAACTATTTCATTCACTTAGCATTCAAACATTGGTTGCAAGCTACAACCGAACATATTTTGGGCCATCTTATTGCTACTGAGAGATTTCATATACAACAAGCAAGATACAATATCGTACAAAAGTGAGGAAAAACAGACTAACACAGGGTCTACAGACCATCTAAGTGTGGAAAATATGTTTAGTGAGGATTTCACATTGGTATTGGTTCATAGATATCCCCTCTCTGGTTCCTTCTCTGAAAAGCAAAAGCAGAGACAGCAAGTGCTGCAACCCCTAACAGTGCCATGCCTGATATATAATGGGGCGTCAACATCTTAGCGTGCAACTGCATGAAAAAAGCAGGATGAAAATCAATTCATGGTTAGAAGAAAACGATACAAGGTCATTTAGAAACCTACCCCAACATTTTGATCCTGTGAAGAGTTGATCGCAGATGATGAGTCGAAATCTGCAACCAGAATGTAAAAGAGCCCCATGACTCCTGTATGGCCTTGGGCACTGCTGTAATTTGAAACCACAGTCAAAGTTTCCCCATCAGATATCTTGACAGAACCCGGTTGAGGATAACAGGTAGACATTCCAACTATGTAGCCAGCCTCATTTCCAGGTTCTTTCCCTTGTCCATAAATTGGAGTTGATGAGCACAGCACTCTTCCGTCCTGAACCAGAAAAACACGAAAAGTGAGTTTTTAGACTGATTTGACATCCAGGTGCTTGCAAACTGCTACATGGTGATGTTAAAATTAACACAAATTGAAGAAGAGTAACAAACATTTCCTCATAATCAAAAGAAACCACAAGGAACTTTGGCCATCGCTCAAAAAATAAAGTGGTGATCAAGACAACTTCTTAAATGACCCCAGCAAGATAATTCATTACCTCTCCATAAAGAGTTGAGCCGATTCCTCCAGTGTGCTGGTGTGCAACACCGTAGACAACGTCACCCCCAGTGGGCAAAATGATGCTGACACTCTTTGTATGAACGCAACTGCCATTCTCATCAGCATTAGAACAAGACTCCACACTGTATTCGATCTGTTTCAGGAAAGAATAAACTTATTCAACATCCCAAAAGGTTCAGTGCGCTGATCTTGAACAAGGGATAGAACATGTAGTTTAATGTCCGGAATAGATTTAACAGCTCACTTTCTAAAATGACCCGTCTTTAATTTTAAAAATTTGTCACATAATTCTTCAAACAAACCAGTATGAATATTAGAAAATGATATGCTTCAAAATAAAAGTAGATCAAAAGTTCGGACAATTTATCTCACACAATTACCAAAAAAAAAGGGAGGGGGGTTGGGGGGGGGGGGGTTTGGAAACTAACCTGGCAGTCATGTCTTGAACTGGTTCCGGTTGAGTCATCATGTTTTCTCCATTTATCAGTAACATCAAATATATAGACTCTGACAGGCACAATTGAATTATGCCAATCAACATACTTCACAGTGTACTTCAAGTAAAGGGTTCTTTTCACACTTCCGAATCCTTCCTTTAACCTACATCTTGTATTATCATAACAACATCTCAACCCCCTGGATAACTTGGGTCTAAAACCCTGCCATATTCATCAACTGTAACATTATAGAGATCACACTTGCACTCCGTACATCCTAACTTATTGTATGCACCTCGTGTATCAATTGCATGCACATTAAGAAGCCATTTCTCCTCATAACCGGAGGGTATCTTTGCAGGACTGCCGAATTCTATACCATATGGATCAGGAACACAGGTGCTGGTTTTCCGTGTCTCAGATCCAAGGCCAAAATATTGTGAAAGTCCGTGTGGACACAAGCCATCGTTCCCGCCTACAATAAAATCTGGCTTGTCAAAACCAATGTTGCTGTGGTCCTTCGGTACTTGAATGCCTTCACGTTGATAGTAGTTCACAACAACCCAGTGATGAAGATAAGTTTCATAAAGTGGTATACTATTCCCCGCCTCATCAATTACTTCAGCATCGAAACTCTTGATAGCTATATGGCCTCTTGGAAAATCAATGTCGTGGAAAAATTTATTACATACTGATCCTGGTTCCAGCTCAAATTTAGGTGATAAATAAACAGCAGTTTTCACCCCATTTTTAACTGTTTCATCCACCAGTGAACTTCTAGAAGTTCCCACCAAAAGCAAAATTGCCAGAAAAATCAACCAGCACTTGGAACCATTTGCCATCTTTCTATATACTACTTGTTGTTCGCGGTACCTGAAATAGCATTAATACAAGGAACCTTAATAAAAATGAGGTTGCATACTTGCATTTGTTTCACAGACATTGTTCTGCAAAAATCTCACTCCAGTAGAAACACTAATTCTTTGATTCCACTATGTTTATCTGTTTCCATTTCTTCTGACTTAATAGGTATAAATCAACGGACTCCAAATCTCCAATCATAATCAAAAGTGGGAAAGAGAATATCTCAAGAATCTCCTTCTATTTTCAAATCCTATTTCTTCCCTTTCCAACAAACTAAAAGCTTTTCACCAAAAAAAAAAAAAAACTAAAAGCTTAATAAAAAAAACGAAAAAAAGAAAAAGTAATTCCTCCTGTGGAATCGATAAGCCTACGACATCCTCAGAATAACACATAAGATTGAAACTCAGATCAATCAGAAACGGTTTTTATTGACTGTCATAAGGTAGTAGTTCTAATTTCCACGTATCCTCCGACTTGAATGAACGCTAAGTAGCTGAATGAAAACAACATGTATAGCAAACACAGTTGGGAAACATGCATCAAGATTAAATCTTCACAAAAGATAGAGACACACGAACAAGAACAGTAAATCATCAAACGGTTTTTCTCTACAGTTGAAGCACTCTATTCACGATTCGGTGCTTCAAAATGTTTTATTTAAGCAACCACTGAAGAGGGACTTCAAGATTTAGCATAAGAAGTTGCAGAAAACAAAAAAAAAACAGGGAATTATCGATTATGAAACAACCCAGAATCATGAATGACAAGACAACTTACCGGAGTTCAAAGTATCATCAAAGCAGTGAGAAAGATGTCGTCTTGAATTTTGGAAGTGTAGAACAATGTGCCAGGCAGTGAGGAACGTGTGAATATTAAAAGGTTGAAGCCCCTGTTGCTTTTGAAGACGGGCTCTTTTTTCATCAAATAACCAATTTTATAATAAAACTTCAGTCGGATTTGGTTGTCTTATGTACGAGGGAAAATCCGGTAGGCTGGCAATTTTCACACTAACTTCTTCTTGGTTAGGCTTACTGGCTTAGCTATTGCTGAGGAAAGTGCTTAGCTCATTGGCAGAAAAGTCCAGGATTTACATCAATCCAAAAAAGTAGATTACTATTCTGGCCAATTCGGGCATTTACTTTACACCTTTCCCAAATTTTGTGCCACGAGGGAAATGGGATTTCTGCCATGGCCAAGAAAACGACTGGAATCGGACTATCCGCGGGGAAAGTAGCAATCAAGCGACACAAATTGAGAAGGGTTCCCATACAAGAAAGTAACAGGTGATTGGGTTCATGATGATGATAAAGAGCAACAACATCGACCACGTCGAAGTGATAATGGGGACATAAATGAATGAATACGGGCCAAAATGTTTTTTTGTAGTTTATGGGTGGCCCTTTTAGGATACTGCCAGAAATACAAATGGCATTCCCTGAATTTCCCTCATGAGTTCACACGTTGTGGTGTTTGTTAAGAGTTTGAAGTTTGAACTTCAGAGGAGATCATCATACAATTGACTAATTAATGGAAGTTCCCCTCAAATTTTTCCAACTCTATGCACCAGAATCTTTTTAGCATGTGGACTATGTTTGGTTATTGTCCCTTTCCCTATAAGAAAAGAAGACACGGGCTTACTTCAAATAAATTAGTCCACAAAATACTTTTTGTGTGTGTGTTTTCTATGGCAATGAATGTAAAAATATGCACGGAAGATACTTTTTGATGTTTCCATTCCATGTGAAACATAGTAAATCATTTCTCACGGTTCGAAAATTTTACAAAAGATTCTACCAATATTATAAGATACAGCAACAAAATATACAATAAGCAAGTGGAGTCTTCAAATAAATTTTGGGGAGATCTTCATTTTATCACACTAACATTTGTTTTTTGAGATTCCTTTGATTTCCTCAATCATTTTCACAAAAAAAAAAGAAAAGAAAAAGGTTTCCTCAATAATAAACAGCTGAATCTTTAGGTGATAGACGATATTATTCATGATTTCATACTCTGCTAAGTTGTCAGGACTGAAAATTGCTCGATTTCTAACTTCCTAAATGTGATATATAACAGATACTACTACTCCTCTAGTAATGCCGTCTCTAACCGAACTTGACCCAAAGTTCAACAATAACGTCACCTTTTCTGATCACTGAAAAGCATGAAGGGACACAGCCAATAAGAGTCATGGCTTTGGTAATGATCTGGACTAAGAAAAGGCATTAAAAAAAGAGATGTTCAACAGTTTCATCAGTCATTAAATACAACAGGCACCTTCTGTCCATATTTGGATCATATTTTACAATCCATTCTCTTGTATTAAGACGGTCTAAGCAAGCTAACTTGGTAATGAAACTAAATTTCGGAATTATAAATTTACTCTAAGAGAAAAGATACTGAAAGATTCATATATATTGTTCAGTGAGAGATTTGTAAGTGCCCATTATAAAGAAAGTCAATCATTCACCAATCCAAACCAAGCCTTGATCTTAGACTTGAGCACAAAGAAGTGCTAAATGTCTTAAGTTGAGCAACTTCGTCATTCCCCATAGAGTGTTTTTGTTTCACTTGAAGATTTCAAGAAGATGCTCCTTCAATGTAGTATTCATACAGCCATTCAATCCATGCACTCCCAGCTTTGAACAATATGGAGTTATTGATCATCATTGAATATTTCCGACCAGACCTCCTAAACTTACGGGTTTGCAAACATCAAGCCAAGCTACTAGTGCTTTCTTGCTACCTGTGATACCTGACCAAAGGAATGATCTGCGTAAACTATCAACATTCTTGATGACTTTTTTGGGGAGTACAAATATTCGACACACCAATAATTATGTAAGCTTTGCAACACATTTAATCAGGACAAGTCTCCAAGCATATGACAAAAATCTTGTAGCCCAACTTCTAATTCTTTCAGTTACCTTTTCCATCAATGGTTGACAGTCTGAAATAGGTAAAAATTTGAATGTTAATGGTACTCCTAAATATTTAATTACAAGACAACACTCTCGGTAGCCAAAACAATTAACTATGGCATGCCTGATATTTTGTGATGTGCCTCCAAAGAATATATTGCTTTTCAATTGATTCGAGATGAATCTAGAAGTATTAGCAAAATGTCAGAGAGTATCTTTGATCAACCTAACAGAATACAGATCTGTCTTAGAGAAAATGAACAAATCATCTGCATATGCTAAATAAGTGAGTTGTATCCGGTGACACTTTGGATGGAATTTGAAACTCTTCTTTCTTGACATACTTCTCAAACTATAGAGAAGTACTCCATCACGAGAGAAAATAGATAAGGTGACAGGAAATCTCTTTATTTAATTCCTCTTTTAGCAGGGAGATAGTCACCATCAATAAGAAGGGAAAAATGAGCTGTAGTAACCTAATCATATATAATTTGTTTCGCTCTATCATTTTTTCTTATGTAGTGAAAAAAATGATATACACTATCATATCTTACTTCTTGTTTAATTACTTACTACCTCCGTTTTTTTTTAACCTGTCACTTTAGAGTTTACACAAGTATTAAAAAAACAATGATTGAGAATTAAATTTATAAAGTTTACACAATTATTAAGAAAACAATGATTGAGAATTAAATTTATAAAGGTATTATTTTTCTTGCTCCTAATTAAAAGTATTGGAATTCTAAAAAATTTGAAACTGAAGTGAAAGAGTAGATAATTGTCATTAATATATATTATTTAAAATATAAAGAGATAATGTAAAATTAAAAAAATAGTATTTAATGTTGTATTGAAAATGAAGTGCGGGAAAAAAAAACAGAAGTAGTACAAATTTATCAACTTTTTTTATTGTATTAGGGTGCTAAAAAAACAAATATTCTGTCACTATTCCCTTTTAGACACATGTAGACTCGGAGTTCATAAACTAGCGCCATACCATAAGTCCCTAACAGCCATTTTCTTCACTAATTCCCTTTTATTGATTAAACATTTGCAAGTCTCAATTTTTTGTTTAGTCCTTGTGTGTCTTAAGACAGATGATTTTATTGATTTTTTTAGTCCTTATTTCTTTTTTTTTTCCTCAAAAAAAAAATACTAGTATAATGGAAAAATGTAAAAGGGGAAAAAATGGAAAAACAAAAAAAGAGCTTGACCAAGTAGAAGAGCAGGCAGTTGAAAGAGAGGCGGAGCAGCTCTCCAATTAAACCGGTCTTTTCTGTTAGGCAAATCTTCTCTCTTCCATTCCTTCCACTGAAGAAATTTCTGAGGGAAAAAATACATTGGATTAAGGGCTAAAAGTTTCACCGGAGGTCAAGCTTCTTTTTGGTAATGGACAAAAAAGAGAGGGCAAAGGAGAGAAGAGAAAAGCGGCGCCAAGAAATTTCTCTTGCCCGCACTATTCCTTATTCCGATCACCAAAGGTATTACTGTAATTCCAAGGTTTCATTTTTTTCCTCCCCCCTTTTGTTCATGTATATAGGTCAAGAAGCTGCATTGGGCAATTTATGGTTTCAATTGAATATGCTGTTTTCTTGAATTGATGCGTCCTGAACTTTGGTGGGATTCCAAAAGTAAGCCCATTTTATCATTCGCTGATCAGAGTGTGCCAAAGACATAAATTTTTTCTGAATTTATCAATGTATGATAGGATGATTTGCAATGGAATGTCTCAGCATCCTGCTATCCACTCACCATTCAAGTTTAACTTGTGTAGCTTATCTACGTTTACGGGATAATGCTGATTTCAATTTGATTTGAGTGCTCAAGATTCACATTTGGAACGCGTACATTCTTAAGCCTTCTTGCTCTTCATAAATTGGGTCTGTGGTAATTGAAAAGAGGTGGTGATTTAGGTTTGAATCTGGAACAATTACGAGATACACATAAATTGTTCATTTGTGCTTCTTTTTCTTTTTTTTTTTGGTTTGGGGATCAGCTGCATCTTTCTGTTGTTTCCTTATATGCCTTTTTATCGCAATCCAGTTAAAAATTTTCGGTATCCCATCAGCTGATGAATGCATGAAAAATGGCATGTGGAGAAGACATAATTTAACTTTTATCTTAGTTATTTAGCAGAATGACTCATTTGTTATGTACATATGCATGATTGAATGAATATGTAGCATCAGGCGCATATGTTATTGGTATGGATCAGAGGGCTTTGTGGATGAATTTTGAAGTATGATGCAAAGTTGTTATCTAAAGTCATCGACTTGCTTGCTCTTTTTTCTTATTCCCACCACGTATTTTTTCTAAAGCACTTTGATGGATGCCAATGTTACTAGAAACATTGTTATTTTTATTTTTTTGTTGGAAGAAAAGAGTTGTATTCCAATCATGTGTTGCTGAATAGTTTATACTTCCAGGTGGTGGTCTGCTGATACAGTTGCCGTGGTAACTGGTGCTAATAGAGGAATTGGTTTTGAGATCGCACACCAACTTGCGTTGCACGAACTAACAGTTGTTCTTACTTCGCGAGAGACTGGTGTTGGTGAAGAAGCTGCAAAGGTCTTGCAAGAAGGGGGATTGAATGTTCTGTTCCATCAGTTGGATATAGTTGATCCTACATCTATTGAAACATTTACCGAATGGATAAAAGAGAAATTTGGAGGAATAGATGTACTGGTATGTTAGAGATAGGAACACTGACTTTGATGACTGGGAACACTGAATTTGATGGCTGTTACTGATCATACTCTCTGTTGTTACCAAGTGAAAGAAAATGAAAGGAAGTTTTATAGTTGAGGCTGAAGATTTTTCTACAATAATAGACCGACCTTAATCCTTATTGTTGATTACCTTCTGTCATTGAGGTTAAAGATTTTTTTAATTGTTTTATGTAAATCTGCAGGTAAACAATGCAGGGATTAATTACAACATTGGGTCAGAAAACACTTTGGAATTTGCTGAAAATGTTATTCAGACCAATTACTTTGGGACCAAAAACATGATCAAAGCCATGATTCCATTGATGAGGTCTACTGCTGCAGGAGCACGCATTGTAAACGTGACTTCACGTTTGGGAAGATTAAATGGACGACGGAATGTAAGTAAAGTCTTACGGATTCAATTTCCATCGGTATTCTTGCAAGTTCTTGAATCGAACAATGGAACTTTGCGTGTTTCTTTTCTATTTTTCCTGAAAATGTAAATTGTGCTCAATGATTCCACACTTGTTACTCTATGCCAAAGTTTGAGTTAACACCATTTTAACAATTGGCCTACCACTGCTCACATAGAAAATAAGCCTTCATCTCCGTATTTTTTGACACTCTGTTATGATCATTGATTAAATCATGCAATTGTACGTGTTCTACCATTTGAACATATGACTGTTCAATCTCATTCAAACATGAAGCATCAATAAGAAACTACCCCTTTCTAGAGTTGAGTGTGGGATCTGTATGAGCAATGCATGATATTTTCTCAATTGTTTGTTCTGGTTTCTTGTTTGGAAAGAGAATGCACGCTTATTCTGTCTGGAAATGATATAATCTTTGTGACTTGTGCTAGAGAATTGGCGATCTAAGTTTGAGAGCACAACTGGAGGATGTGGACTCACTGTCCGAGGAGTTAATTGATGGGGCCATGAACTCGTTTCTGCAACAAGTGAAAGATGGCACTTGGGAGTCCGGTGGATGGCCCCAGGTGTTCACTGACTACTCACTGTCAAAACTTGCAGTCAATGCTTATACAAGACTGATGGCAAGGACATTTTCTGATCGCTCTGATGGGGAGAAAATTTATATCAACTGCTACTGCCCTGGATGGGTTAAAACTGCTATGACTGGTTGGGCTGGTCATACTTCTCCTGAGGAAGGGGCCGATACAGCAGTCTGGCTCGCGCTGCTGCCAGAGTTGTCAATAAGTGGCAAATTCTTCGCCGAGAGGCGTGAAATAAATTTCTAATCCCAGAATTGAAGATGGTTTTGGATTTTGAAAAACACTTACCAATATCACACTGAACAGGGCGACAGAGACGAATGTGTGCTGCCATGTAGTCAATCCCATAGTTTCCATACTGCAACCAAGCTACCTGTCGCCATGGAGTGTCATATTCATACCATTTTTTTTTTTTAAAAGAGTATACTTGCTTGACTTAGGGTGCCACTTTAACGATGGCCGAGGTGGTAATAAAAAATGGCCGATAGTTTTGTAACTTGTAGTGTGTTATGTTCTGCATTTTCTTCTGTCATTGGTTAATGTTTAGTTTAGAAAACAAGAAGCTTGACGGGCGAATGCAATAGCTTATTCTTAAGTTTCTTTTCCATATTCCAGTGGCATGCATTTACTTTTCAATTTTCATGTCTATGAAACTCTGCCTAGATCTTCATCCAAGATCATGTGCATAACGTATCAATATCATCCTTTGTAGTAGATGGAGTTGGTGATGATCTTAGACATTTGGCTTGATCAAATTATACTAGTTTTTTTACTTTAAAGTCATGCCATTTAGGTAAACATGCTGATCTAATATAATGCAGACTTTCTCGCAACGAGCTCCACTGCTATGCTAAGATTTTTTTTTTTTGGATAATTTACTCATTCAAGATAACCGACCATTAATTGTCTACTCGTCCCAAAATAAAGCCTTTGTTGATGAACTAAAATGGTTACATAATTACATTGATCAGAATTTGAGGTAGCTTTGCCTTTTCTATTCTAGATTTCGGACCAACTTTGTAACTAACATTGTGCCAAAAAGCAGTTGAAACTCGTGGAATGCCTAAGTGAAACTTGATGGACTGAAAATGGCCACGATAACCTCGAACCTTAATCAGGATCCTAAATGAACTTTTTGCCAAAAGATTTCGCTAATAAAACACATTTTCCGCAGTCCAAATCCCGCAATAAAACCTGAGCTGACATAAGAACACCGATTTCAATTTCAACAAGATTCCTCCACCTCTTCAATTCCTTACCCTCAAACGTAGAGACTGTATCGGCGTCCGGGTTTATCAATCAATTTCAGCAGCTTGCTTGTAAGAACACATTCCATCTTCTTCCTTCTTCTATGATTCTCATGTCAATTTCCTTCGTTGTATGACAACCTTGGGAAGAAGAATTTGGTTTCGGATACGAATTTAATTTCTTTTTCTTTTTTCCCCTCTTTTCAGTGGTTGCAGATTTTGGAGCCCTTTTAGCGAAATCAATCTTTCTAGGTACAAATCCTGGTCGGTTTTACTGTTGATTTCTGCTTTTCGGCCATTAATTTTTCAATGATGCCGCATTTATTTCTCTCTTTTCTTAATTCTGGTTTAACGCATTGGTTCCTGGGTTAGGTTTTGATCTTGGGGTTTGTGGGTTGAAAGTCTCGGACAGGGATACTAATATGTAAACTTCAATTTAGGATTGCTATGACAGTTGATGGTTTCATGTTGTTTTTTCGCTTTTTTTGTAGATAAAGCATTGATTTTTCCCTCTAATTTGCGTCCTTTTCAACTTGCTGCTACCATCAACTAACTAACCTAGCTAAGATGATTTTGTCCTTTTAAATTTAGAGCCTTCTGTAGATCAGGCTTATGATTTAAATCCTACTCTGAAAGTTTAAACATAATCAACTCTGAATATGTTGATCAGAAAGGGAAGGGTGAATCCTGTTTCAGAATGGCTCTTGTTAGCTGTAATAAGAACTCTTAGAGAGCAACTGATTTAGTTTTGTAGGATAATGGGTTCATGTGTGATACCCAGAATTTGATGAAACAAAAGGTAGTCATTCAGTAATATATTTGATCTGGAATGTAAGTTGTTCCATGCCCTCAGTTATTATGTCGTTTTTGTCCTTCATTTTCCATTTTGCATCATGATCCTCCAGAGATAATTTATGTGACTGCTTGTGCTGCTTATATGACTCAATGGAAACCGCTCTCACATTAAATTTTGTGTAGAAATTAAACTTCTGTTCTGAAAGTTGATTGAACCTGATTTGCAGACTTTGTTAAAGATGTTGAGAAGGGCTGTTTCTTCCGCAATCCCCCGTATCCTGAATTCTTCGAATCATGCCAGAGTTGCTAACTCTGCTATGTCCTCTGAAACTGTTTATAGGTGAGAAACCCGCCTAAACCGTTTGGAATTGTTTTAGCTCTATGTTCATCTCACACCACTCCTCCTTCCTTTATTTTCAGGCCAATTCTTGGTTCAGCCTCACGATTTTTCTCGTCAAATCAACCATTGGATATTGATTTTTCCAATGAAGAAAGCAAGAGGCGTTTGTGCAATAGGTATGGTTTTTGTTCGAAAATTACTTTTTTATCTTGTCCAAACATTTTTGTTTTATTTTTTCATGGATTCTACCTTTACCCTGCCTGTCAACTTAGGCTACTATACCGGAGCAAACAAAGAGGATTCTTGGAGCTGGATTTGGTTCTGGGGAAATGGGTCGAGGAACATGTTCATTCCATGGATGAAAATAAAATAAAAGCTCTTGTTCATGTCCTTGACCTGGTAAGTTTCTTTCTGGACTCCTCTGTACTTCTTGCTCTTGCCCTTTCTCTTACATATGTCATATGTACAATTAACTGAATTTATCCAGAGCAACTGATGGAGTTAATTCCTCCACAGAACTCATTGAGGCTTTACTTCAAAGGCTTTAGTTAAAATTGTTTTTTTGATGTGTTGTAGTGGACATCTTTGCTGTGTTTTGTTGTGCCAAATTATGTCGTATACAGCCTCTCATTTTCAAATACATTAGAGAAAGTCAGTTGTTGGTCTTGCCAGTCAGGTTTGGGATAGATCTTATTGGTCACTCGTATTTAGTAGTCATGGTGCATCTGAATGCCTCTTATCCTTTCATGTATGAATATGTGAATTCTATTTGGCGTCTTTGAATGCGTTGAAACTTATGTAAGTTTAAGATGTTAGTCAACTGAGAGCAGGGATGTTTAACGGTATGTCTTTGAACATCATTGTATACTCTGTACTGAGGTCAATGGATTTTATATTTGTTGAGGTTGAAATCTCAGATCATCTGTATGGCCTTTGTCTATGACAAATTTTTGGATTATTGAGTTCTTTTTCATGGTTTTAATTTGTCTCCCTTCCTATATTGCAGGAGAATCCAGATTTATGGAAGTGGTTGACTGGGCAGGAGCAACCTCCAGAAGCAGTCAGCAACAATCCTGTGAGTCATTAAATCCACACAGACTTGCCGCTTCTTCAGTTCATGCAAATTCTGTGGAAACATTAATTTGATCTCTGAATATATGTAAATGGACTTGTAGGTATTCACAGATTTGCACAAAAGGGTGATGAACAATCTCAACAGCCATGCGTCTCCAGAAACCCGGGCAACTCCTGGACAACCATGGGTGAGAGGCTGGGATGATTTCAAGAAAGGTCGCGATAGCCCCATCGTCGGCAACCAGTAACTGCAATTCATCTCCAACTGCTGTCAGCTTTTCTACTTTTGCCGGCCATGTATAGAACCATAAGATTAAACATCTTTAAGAAGATCCCTTGTGTGAAAAATAAGGCCAGCTTGCTCATCAAGGAGATTGCTTTCAAGCACTGTGATTCTGTAAACTGATCCTATTCTGATTTTTCATAGTTCCAACGATCATCATCGGGTGCCATTTTTAAATCGGAATCTCCCGAGAGGAAGCAATGTGGATGGAAATAACAGGAAATTCATGATTAATTAAGTAGTACTATCCCATGAAATGATTTGACAAACAAACAGAGATTATGAACGTTCGTAAGAAGTCACAATGGACAACAAGGCAACCTCATTTTTGTGGCTTGTCTCCTCAATGAAACACATGCAAAATAGTAGATTCATCAAATAAGTGAAATTATTTAAGGTAAAATAAAAATGTGGCAAAGACCTTATCTATATCTACATTAACCCCCCCTGCGACTTGGGAGGCTTAAATTGCTCTGAAACTCTCACCCCGAAATGAGTTCTGAAAATTAACCAAAATGGCCACCATCTTCTACTACTACTTGTTCACTCTTTTGTCTTCATCGTTTTCATTGGTTACTGCAAAATCCACCGACCCAGTTCCCGCACCATGGCCGGAACAGTTCCATTCCGTTCTCTTCATGAACAACAGCAAAGGTGCCCTGCAGAAGGTGGATTTATGGTACGACTGGCCTAATGGCCGGAACTTCAACATCATTCAGAATCAGCTTGGAAAGCTTCTCTATGATTTGGAGTGGGATAATGGCACCTCTTACATTTACACCTTAGATTCCGACCAAGAATGCAAAGTCTTACATTTCCCCGTCGGAATTCTGAGACCCAATTGGCTCGACGGCGCAACCTATCTTGGCCGGAAAACTGTGGATGGTTTCCGATGCAATTTGTGGGAAAAAGTCGATTTCATTTGGTACTATGAGGATGTTTTCACCAAAAGACCCGTCTACTGGGAATTCTTCACAGGTAATATAACTAACTTTATCTTGTCCCACTACACATTTTGCCATCAATCAAAATTTCCTTTTATAATTACACTAACAAGAAGCAAATTGCGATCTGGGATTTTGATGGAAATAGGAATGATTGCACATGTGATAACATTTGAGGTTGGAAGTGTTCTTGAAGACCCCAATTGGCAAGCTCCAGAATACTGCTTCAAGAAGAAGTCTGATGATATTGAACCCACACTTGATCAATTCTCTGATTCAGTCACTCCTGGAGATTTGATGAGAGGATTTAATTTCATTCGTGCTTGAATGCCTTTTGTTCTTGAATGTCAGAAGGAGACTCTGGATTTGGATAATCTCTTACAATGTACACTACAGTACTTTCTTATGCATTGGTGTAGTAGTACGAGTATTATTTATAATCCATTGATGCAAAACCGTACCTTTTTCATAAATTCACTCTAATCAACTAAGTACATTTTAATCGAACAACCTAGCATCGTTTTAAAACAAGTATTTTAATCGGTCGTTGCATCCCTATTTTTGATTTGATCTTCGAAATATAGTTAAACTGGTTAAATACTTTTACTATTTGAATCAGGTGTTTGTTAATTCTACATGATAAATTTTAAAACTCGATAATCTTTATAAACAGAGAAGGGGTACTATTATTTTGTTTCTTTGCTACTCTCTCTATCCCAAAATTATTGTCCAGTTTGAAATTTCACTTTTAGTACAATTTGAATTAGAAATGAATACCCAAATTGGACAATAATTATGGAACGGAGGGAGTATATGCTATCCATAGACCATAGTTTTAGTTTCCCCTTTTCCATCCATGAAAATTTCCCACTCCTAGAACCCTTTATAACCGATCCATCTATAATCCAGAAAAACGGAATATCGGGCCACTTCAATTCATTGAAGGAAAAAGAACATGGATTTGCCTAATGACCTTGTAGTTGATATCCTAGCAAGATTGCCCGTCAAGTGTTTGATGAAACTCCGGTGCGTGTGTAAATATTGGCGTGGTTTGATCAGAAGCCCCGACTTCATTGATGTGCATTCCAAGCACCCAAAGAATCAGGATAAAGATGTGATCCTCCTCAACCTTTTCATTGGAGGTAGCCCAAATGATGAACCCGTATTTATAGAAGGCTGCCGCCTTGATGATTCAAGCTACACTGTTTTCAATTCTATTCTTACGACCACGATGGATCACTCTGCAAGGTTGCCCCTGATTTCTCACCACATTTTGATATTAACCCACCAATATCAAATCCTCCCTCAATTTCTAATCGTTGCAATGGCATTGTTTGTGTGGCATGTTTGTCGTTTTTGTCTACGGAGTACCGATCAACTGCTGAATACATCTATCTGTGGAATCCGGCTACTCGTGAGACAAAGGGTCTTCCTTCTCGCCCCATTGAGCTTCCCCGAGGATACACTGTCTATTTTGGGCAGGTGGGATTTGGGTTTGATTCACATTCTAATGCATATAAGATTTTGTTTTTATCCACATTTATTGGGTATGATGATCATATTGAAGCTCGCCCTTTCAATATTGGTCCGGATGAGCCGTGCCTGATTCATGTCTACAATGTCAGTTCTAATTCCTGAGGACGAGTGACTGCTAGTGTCACACCACATACGGGTGATACGGATGGTATATTCTTTCACGGATCATACCACTGGTGCGCCGAGAACCAATTTAGTGAGCCCATCATTGCCTTTTTTGATATGAGTCTTGAGGTGGTCCAAGAGATGAAGTATCCTGATCCCAAACATGTCGGTTCGCATGTTACTGTCTTAGCTGGTTTCCTGGCAATGATTGTATCCTCTTCAAGGTGTGTTCAGAACGGAGATATGGATTGGCAAGACATCAACCATATCACCATATGGGTGAGGACTGAGTATGGGTCTGATTCATCATGGATGAAGAAATGTACTATTGGACCACTTGAGGGGTACTTCAGCACCATGGTATGTTGGAAAGAGGACAACCTCCTTATTCGAAGAAACAATCTGAGGGACAATGGTTCAGGGAGGAACAATGAAGAGGTAACTTCATGTGATGCTAAATCAGATATCCCTCGAGTGAAGAGATATGGAATTATTGGAGAGCATATGCGAGCTGTGATTTATAAGGAGAGTTTGGCTTCAATGCATCTGATTTGATTGTCATGTAACCAATCATGTTATACTCTATAAAATTCTTTTCTTAATTTTGGATGGAATTGGATGCCTTTTCTGCTATAATAGCTTTGGATGACTTTGTGCGGTGTTAGTTTTATAGGGAATGTCAGTGTTGGAACGAACCCTCAACACAGAAATCAATTAGTCCATCCTTGGAATCATTCAAAACCGCCCCGGCCACCGAGTCCTCCAACCACGTCTTGACACGTATACCTCGTATCTCTTTCTGCTGCTTCGGAGCAAGACTGGCGAAGCTCTCCACCTTGGCCGCGGCAACGAACTCCGGCGAGGACCCAATGAAATTTCGAGATCATTGAAAGATCCAACGCTGTTTTTAGCCTTATTCGTCACTGTGATTCCGATGCTCCAATTAGTAGCGGTACTTTTGGGAGGAAAGGGAATCGAGCTGAAAACTGGCTCCCCCGCCATCATTAACAATTGATACTGACATCAGGTTTCATTCATATTATGCATGCGCTAGTACAACAAGGTAAATTCTGATTCCGGCCAACAACTGGATTCCACATGGTCAGTCTCTCTCTCTCTCTCTCTCTCTCTCTCTCTCTCTCTCTCTCTCTCTCTCTCTCTCTCAATGTGGAAGAAAGTCAAGCTGAATGGATATATATGCATGCAAGCACTTAAGGATATACTTTTAAGGTTTGTATGGTTAATTCGTGCCAACATACGTATCCATCTGATTTATCCGTTACACATTCCCAATTTTGCCAATTAATTATTACTTCCTCCGTTTTGAAATATATGTCGTTTTAGAATTTTGGTGAACTTTTTAAAATATATGTCAGTTTTCACAAATTTAGGCATATTTGACCACTTTTTACTAATATTACCATTGCATTAGAAATAAACCAATATTAATATGAATTTTATTGGTTTGTAATGAATTGTGTCCACAATAAATAAATATATTTTTATATTTTAACTATATTAATTAATATTTTCTTTTGATGATTTCTCTAAAAAAACATTAAAAAAATTGGAGGGAGTGCTTAGTACTACTCCAGGCAATGAGCTTCATAAAAAAATGTATGCATATGTTTTCGGAACCGCTAATTCCAGAAGATAACTTGCGTGGAATCGAAACCTTAACCCAAAATCGACTATTCCATCTCTCCTATCATTTATGATTGTCATTATTATTTTTGTACCACAATACCTCCACTTGGAAATTCTTGAAATGCCCTGCGTTGCGTTTGGCCTGATTCCACACGGAGAAAGAAAATGAGTCCACTTGAAACTGGGCTAACACATGATTAACAATGTGGGAGACCGTCAGCCAACCAAGGTAGACAAGTGGTGGCGCTGAGGGAATAACAAAGAGGAAAATCATGGCGCTGCCGCATGCCGCTGCCATATTCCGGTTGGCACAAATGAAATCCATCCTTACAAATAAGACCGGAGGGGAGTAAACCATTTATAATACTACCACACAATAACTACTTACTACAAAATAGGAGATTAACTATCCTACCACTACTCAACTACAACTAACCACTATCAAAGTGGCTTATTGAATAATAACTAAATAAATATAAAATTGCACGTAACCGAAGGATATTGGCATAACTTCTTATACATTAACTTCTTTTTTCCTTTTTTTTGATGGCATAAGAAGGATAGTGTTCATCAAATTTCTTAAGTGTTCTTAAGTGTTCATATCCTTCTTATACGAAATAGAACCGTATAAGAAGGATATTGGCATAACTTCTTATACATTAACTTCTTTTTCCTTTTTTTTTTTGATGGCATAGCTCTTACCATATATGAACTTTGTACTAGTTAAATCTATATTTTCAAATACTCTGCCCTGAATGACATTGAAACAATCATCGCACCTGGGATTCCAGAGTTTCCAAAGTTTTGTGCCGGAACCTTCAAATTTTTTTCGAGTCCCGTAGTTTTAATTTTAATGACAACAAAGAAAGGGATTGGGAACAATTAGTTAGAGCCTTCAAAGTCAATAGCCTTAAGTAGGCAACGCTCGGAATCGAAAAAAGCAAAATTATGAATTCGTGGAGTTTAGAGTTTACCTGAAATTGAACCAAAACTGGTCGGAGGCCGGAGATTGGAACGGCTTGCTAGGGAAGTGGGGAGAGAGATAAATCCATTTCACTATAGAAGGGTATTTAAGAAAATACACTCAAAATTTAAGGAGCATATATAGATCTCATGTGGGGAGTATAAGGCCGGTTGCTTTTGATGAGAATAAGGTGGTTCGAAGGATCCACTGGAATGCACTGCCTTTGAGTTGGATGAAAGCTAATTCGGATTGTAGCTTCAACAGAGAGTCGAGGATGACGAGTGTCGGAGGTGTTATAAGAGATGGGTATAGTCGTTTGGCACGTGGCTTTGTGATGAACATTGGTTTTTGTATTCTCATGGATGCCGAGAATTATGGGGTTTATTCCAGGGGGTGTCAATTGCTTAGGATATTGGCAGCCAGAGTTTTTAATCAAGTGCCACTTTGGTTAAGGGGAGAGATGATGTTATTGGCTTGAATGGAAGAATTATACATGAGATTCGAGACTTGTTAAGTCGAAATTGGGAGGTTGAGTTGAAGCATGAGTTTTCGGAAGTAAATTTTGTAATTGATTATTTAGCACCATTAGCAACTCATTGCCCAGGGGGTTTATATCGATTAGAAGCTCATCTGCCGGGGGTTAGACCATAGCTGAAGCATGATATTATAGGAGTTATTTATCCCAAAATATGCTTATATAGTCACTAGAATTTTGGAACGGATATTGGCTAATCAATTTTATTTGTTAAAGAAAAATGTTACATTCTTTTAGCTCATAAACTTCTAAAAAAAAAAAAAATCAAATTATGCATAATATAAAACACAAAAAAGAAAGATAAATATAAACTCATAAACTTCTAAAAAAAAAAAATCAAATTATGCATAATATAAAACACAAAAAAGAAAGATAAATATAAACTCCATTGGGCGGGGTTAATTTGTGGTAAACTGGTACAGGTCCTGAGGGAAGAAGAGCATCGTTGCTGTTTCTTAATTACAATTTCTTCAAGTTTTTGACCAAATATGAAAAGGGTTTGGACGGAACTACATCCGGTTAGAAAAGGAGTAGACAAAAATACATGTTTCGGTTTTCTCAAATCCGAAAGTAAAGTGATTTTGGATTTCAGAAATTTAAAAGTAAGTTAAATTTAGATTTCATAAATCTGATAGATGTGTATTTATCCTGAGGTCAGATAGGACTTTCGGATTTTCAAAATCTAATTTGATAGTATTAATTCAATTTTCAGATTTCGGAAATTTGAAAAATGTATTTCTGTCCAAAAAAAAGAAAAGATTTCAATTGTCTACTTAAAATTTAATTAAATCTTTTTTGCGAAGCTCCCGAGGCCATCATCTTCCAATCCCACAACTATTGCAGAAAAAATCCAAATCGTGCAGTGAAGTGAAGTGAAGTCAAATCATGAGATTTAACTAGATATTGTTCCATCTCGTAATAATAATTTAGATATCACAATTTTAATCCTGGTTTAGATGCGATCTATAATACTTCATCTTTTCTTTAATAATTACTCCCGTATTTAAATTAAATTATTCTAAAAAAATTAGTTTTACACTTGAGCTATATGGCTCCGTAATACATCGAACAACCCTAGTTTTACATGAAATTCAAAACTTCCAATTGTTTAGTCACAATGTGGCTTTACATAATAAGATTGATATGATTGGATTTGTAAAACATGTACTTAATCGTATTTTATGAACAACAACTTAATAGTGCATCAAATTAAGCACGAGTGAAGTGGAACAAGTGCAGGATCAAATTCAGCAGATTATGGGCTTTGAGGTGGGAAGCTTTCCTATGAAATATCTTGGTTTACCTATCTCACCAACAGCCTGGACAAAGCAGATTGTCAAGTGTTGGTTGATAAGTTGACCGCAAGAATCAAATGCTGGACTTTTAGCCATCTTTCATATGCAGAAACAACAGTGTCGATCAATGCAGTCCTGATGACACTACACACTTACTGGTCAAGTATTTTTCTGATCCCTCAATCAGTCATACAGAAAATTACTTCTAAATGCAGAAAGTTTTTATGGGGAGAGAAGGATAATGGTAAATGCTGGCCATTAGTATCCTGAAATGAAGTGTGTAGCAGTAAAATTGAAGGAGGCTTAAATGTGAAGGAACCTGGAATATGGAACAAAACATTGATGGAGAAGCAATTATGGGACCTGGAAATGAAAAAAGATAGTCTATGGATTAAGTGGATGCACCAATATTTCCTGAAAGGCAAGTCAATCTGGTCATATCAGCCACCAAATGATAGCAGTTGGCACTTGAAAAAGTTGTTCAAAGTTAAACATCAACTGAAGGCTGGAGTCAGTAATGGCAAATGGCTGGGAAACAATGGCAAGAGATATACTACTTATAGATGATTGCAGGGTCCAAAGGCAAAAAACAGTACTGCAACAATCAACTGGTGTAGAATGGCAGTACCTAAACACAGCTTCATGAGCTAGTTAGTATGGAAGGGAAGAATACTCACAGTGGATAGGTTGTTGAAACTGCAGGTGGCTATCACTGATAAACAATGTGTATTGTGTCAACGGGTAGATGAATCTCTGTAACATTTGTACTTTGAGCGTGCCTTTTCAGCAGAAATGATGCAGGAAATGAGAACCTGGATGGGAATTCAGAGCAGAATTGAAAGTTTGAACTTGAATAGAATCCTGAGAATCTGGAAATTCAGGAAACTGAGGAGGAATGTGATCTTGGCAGGGCTGAATGCTCTCATTTATCATGTCTGGACTGAAAAGAATAGCAGAAAGTTTGGAAACAAGGTGCTGACAGCAAAGAGAGATGGCTTTTAATGAAGAATGAAATCATTTGGAGGATTAAAAAGTTGCATAGAAATGGTAGTGGTGATGACATCTAGGAATTAAGATGTAATTTTTGTAGTTTGCTGTAAATAACTTGCCTTTG